TTAAAAATAAGGGGGATGATTCTTAAGACTGTGAAGTGGCTGTGGCCTATGTCGTATTTATACACAACAGAAGAGCTGTCCCCTTGACTGCTCTACTGGGTCACGTTTGGTTCAGCACTGACAAAGGGAAAAATCAGCTTTTTATTACAATTAGGTGTCCAGTAGACTAAAGAGTTTTAAGACATTGCCACAGACTCTTTCTAGCCTAAGAAAGATTTTTCTCTCAAAATTCATTGAACGCTTTTCTTACCTTGTCTAAGATCCTCGGATCAGGAAGTTGAGGCTAATTGGAAACTCCATTAACATACAGCCAAGCTGTCCTTAATTTTGATAGCATTACTTTGAGGTGAGCAAGCAAGAGGTAGATAAAGACTTTATCCTAAAAGCAAATGAGAACACCAAGAAGATACTACCTATTTCTCAGCACTGTGCTGACAATCAGCAGACTAGAGCAACTTCCTGAAGTGTGCAGAACAACTGGGTTGACTGCTCACTGAAATACACGTAATCGGTGATTTCAATAGCGTGTTTGAGCAGCTGCTGTTTGTCAGAGAGATGTCTCCTGGAGCACAAAGAACTCAGGAGCTATCTAGGGTCACCACTAAGATAAGTTGTTTCCCAGTAACACAAAACACCACCTGGCTTAAAAATTCACATGGGGAGAAGGTAACTGCAACACTGCATAATGTATCTTGCAAGAAAAGCAATGTAACACTTGTTTTTCCCCTCGCTTTCAAGAAGTGCTTTTGTCTCTATCACTCTCTCTGCTTTGGAGGTTAATACACCAAGGCTCTGGGTAAGTCTCCTTTTGCTTAGCATCTAAGGTTGTGTCCTTGGAGGCATCTACGTGGGTGAAGCAAAGGCAGCTTCAGTAGTGCTGGATGCGGGGTTAGAGTGGTCGAGCAGCAGGAACTACCAGCTCTTGGGCTGTACTCATCTCAGAACTGCCTTGTGAGCTGGCAGGGCTCCTAAGTCCACCCCCCTCTTGCTTCGGACAATGCAGATACCCGACTACACCTGCACTGCCACAAAAGGAACAGATTGTTTTGAAAAGATGCTGCTAAGAATCAAAAAGGCACGTGTGTAAATATGCTGACCAAGAAGACACAAAGGACTGTAGGCCAGCAAAAAGATGACAGTCAGAAAAGAAATACAGATACTTTGAAGGCAAGATGCTCCCACACTGTGTTGTATGAGATTTTTCTCTATATACACACACACGTGTTGAACATCATTCCAAAGAGATTTTAGGAATACAATATAGTTAATCCAAATCCTATCAATTCCTTCAATGTTTTTTATTTAAGTAAAGTTGTGATATCACTAATGAAAATAATATTGTTCATGCATACATTTAAAGGACTATTGAACTTGCTTCTAGACCTGTCCAATTCCTCTACAGTTTCACAGGATTTAAGTCAAAGATATACATATTTTCACTATTAAATACAAAAACCTTAGCTAAATTAAGGCATTTCAGTCCTCAGGTAAAATGAGTGCATATCCAAGGAAACAAAAATGGGAAGAAAGGAAAGCATAAGATGCCATGAATACCCACAAAGAGTATAACTTCTGGAAATCACTTATGAAACACTTAAATGACCTCAGCAGGAGATTACACTCTGAATTCCAGAGGAAGGCAGAATTTGACAGGGGAAATTCCTTTCCCCACCCCCTTGTTGAGTTCCACATTGCCTTGAGCAAGAGATCAGCCAGGAATCTAAAGTGACACTGTCTGGTATGTCTGAGCACAGGTTTACAACGATGTGAGCAGTAAGTACATGCGAGAGTAACTGGCTACATCATCCACGGAGAAGCCAGGTTAAATTCTAGAGCCTAAGCACCAATTATTATTGGCTTAATGCAGAACTGCACATATTATGAATACCTCCAGTCATCTTAATTTGATCATCTCCACCCTTCCCCAGCCCAAGTCTTTATCAAAGCTAGATGGAAGCATATCTTAATCATTAAGACTAGATACTGATGTAGCTGCCTACATAAGCCTTTTTGTTGTTTGAATTCTTAGCAGCAGCCTCAAGACCAATGTCTAGCCACTAACTGTCTTCTTTCTTTTGCCAGTAAGTGAATAAGATCTGAATTGTCTTCCATTATCAGTGTATGGCTATGCCTAGTGATCAAGTTGCTGCTTTGTTTACTGAGAAACACTAAGGAGATTTAACTTGGGTCCATAACATAGAAATACTTTCTAGATTCTTTGTGGCACATCTTCAAGTACGGACACCAGAAAGAGAATGCAGGATTCAAGCAAGATAACCTCCCTGCTTCTATCAATAGTCAAGGATCACATTCACTGCTCCAACAGCAGCTTTCTGTACATTGCTGCAACACTCCTCCTCACTTCTCTTTGGGTATTTTGAGTCATTGTTTTCTATGGAAATCTTGGTTTCTGTTTACCAAGTGTATCAGGAATAAAAATACACAACGTTTACAAACAAACAAAACAAACATCCAGAGAATAATCTCACTGAAAACCCCACATAACATAAGACACTGTGCTTACATAAAAGGCCAATTTAGTAACAGGTCCATGGTCTTTCCTGATCAGCACACTCGCATAATTAACCTGCAAATGAGCCAGCATGAGGAATCCTTCAGAATGTTAGAAATTCAGATACTTCCACTGCAAGCCACCTTCCTACACAAGCTAATTTCCAATAAATACTTGCCATTTACCCTCATCCCACAATATCCCATACCTAGCATCCAGATTTTCAGACCTCAGTTATTATTTGCCTGGGTCCAAAATGGACACAAATTCCTGGAGTTCTAGAGGCCTTTCAGATCAGATGAACAAAGTTGTTTGGAGAATGAACAATTTTTTCAACTGCTGCAGGGTTAATCTTTCTGGCTCTCAGACAATTAAGCCTCAGGCCAGATCAGGGCTTTCACTGGGTATTTTTTTTTTCTACTAGGCTTCTCATAAGTTTAGCTTTTCTCATAAGTCATATGATGTTCACAGTGCAAAGTCTGCTCCCCAATGTGGAAATTTTCATTTCTGAGTTGTTCTGGAATGTTGCCATCATGGTTTTCCAGCAACACATTGGTCAATAACAGAGCAAGAAACACACATTCATTATGCAGGATAAAAAAATTGTTTGACCTTTCAAGTCTTTTTTTTTTTTTTTTTTGCATTACAGTAAGGAAGGTTTTGTGGTTAAGACACTAATCTACGACTTCAATGAAAAAACCCAACCAACCACAAACAGTTCAAATCTTCACTCTGACAGACTGCACGCACAACACTAGGGGAATCATCTTTTTCTGGACTACATAACTGCATGTAGCCATAGGTACATGTACGCATGCATTCATACGTAGCTGTATGTATACACACACAAAACCAAGTACATAACCACAAAAGTGGGGACAGAAACCACAACTTTCCCCAACTAGCTTGAAGGGCAGCGGTAGTTTCTGTCTCCTGCAAAAAATAAAAATCAGATTTAAGAAGGATGTTGGTGAATTTTTCACCAATTTTGTGAGTCTTCTATTTCCACTTTGCATGCCAATCATCTTTTCTGCTTAAGAGTTATAGCCTGACCAAGATATTACGAAATCTACCAAGAAAACTTCCATAGGTTTTTTGTTAGTTTCATGCCAAGAGGAAGAAAGTTGATTTCTGAAGCAACTATTACAGTGAAACACAGTGAAAACAATTCTTCATCCAGCTATGCCAAAGAAACTAGGCTAATAATCCATTATCATGCTCTCTGCATATAAAAGCAAGCAGAATTTGCAAGCTCTAGTCAGCTTCTGCAGAGAAATCAACTTAAAGAAATAACAGAATCTTTGGAATTTACTGAGAAAATAACAATGAAAATTTCTGCTGCAATGAGAGGGATTAAACCATTTACAAACTGAAGTCTGTAAAAAGTGCCATCCTTCCTCCTCCCCATTCAAATGGGTCCTACTTTCCTGCAGAGTGATAAGTAAAGATTATTTATGAGGATCAGGTGAAGGACATGTTATGTGATCTATTGCCTGGGAGTCCAGACACAGGCAGAGTTCAGCCTTTCACATCTCAAGGGAAGCATGAAAACTATGTGAGGCAGCATATTTCCAAAATTATTCTGAATCAATTTCTAATATTAGCAAAATTCTCCTTCAAGTTATCCTGTAAAAGTAACAAGATTTCTAAATTGGTCAAAGAGTCCACAAGATTACAAAGCTCTAGTAAATAAAATTCCTTTTTAAAAAACCAAGCAGTTAAAACAAATGACAACTTGCAAGTTAACTTCTCTCTTAAAAGAGCAAGCAAAAAAACCCAACAAAACCAAAGCCTTCCAAAATATAGATACATGAGGATTTAAAAATGTCAAAGAAATCTTTTCTACATCATCTGAGAAACAGTTATTGTTCCCACCTGTAAAATTCTGCCTCTTATAAGAATCCCCAGACAGCAACCCCTCCAGCAGTTTCCTCCCTCTGCAATGACTGGGCATGAGAAGTGAGTCACAACTTTTTTTTCTTTCAGATGCATGCATTAGGTAGTGCTGATGAATTGTAATAATACACATACACCAGCCAAATACTGTAAGTTGCTATTAAAATGTCAGGAAAAAAAATCTGGATATTCCTGCCAATTCCTTCACACAAAAGAAATACAGACTTGATATACACTCAGTTCTGTATAACTAGCCACAGTGTTTACTGATGTCCTGTAAACCTAACATTAGAACCTATGTGCTTCGAAAAAAGAAAGTACAGAAAGTCTTAGTCAAAGAGCTCTTGGTGTCCCCTGCTGTCAAAGTCTGTGGAGCCTGCTGCAACAGGTTTGAAAACAGAAGTGAAGAGATCAGGTAGAAGTTCTTATATTAAAAGCACAACTCCAACTTGGAACAGAGTTCCCTCTGCTGAATCGAGTTCAAATTTACCCCAGATAATTTAAAAAGCAACAAATTGACATCTGAGACTTTCTAGGAGAAGGTAAAAATTGTAGGTCTTTCAAAATATGTGTCCAAGAAAAACTGTAATACCACTGATCAGGACAGAGTCACTTCTGGGAATCAAAACCGTGAGTATGCTGTTCTTTGCTGTTGCTGCTGTGATGGTGGCTGTCCTTGCTGTTGCTGAAGACGAACCTGCTGAGAGTATGGATCCTCAAGAGATTTAACAAAAATAGTTGTCTTAGGCCCGGTTTTCCAGACAATACCATTTGAATCTATTACAGAGGACTCTACTGTGATGTTGTGGGTGCCAAGTATCACAAAGTTTAACAGAAACTGAGTGCTGAAGTAGTCGTTGTGTGGTTCCACCCTCTGCTCCATTTCATTGGTCATGTTGTCAATAGGAATCTGAGAACACATGGAAGGTTAAAATGCCATTTTATATAAACCTGTTAAAATAAGTTTTCTGCTCTCCTTTTGAAGGAGAGAAAAATCTTTGACCTCACTTCTCCTAAACTAATGCACATGCATATATGAGCCAGCTTGACGTGCTTTTTTCATTGATGAATGAGTTATTTTTGTAACTATTCACAGAAGCAAGGTAGCTGACAAGCCGTTTTCTCCCCGAGGTTCTAGTGTTCCAGTTTTCCAGTAATACGAGTCAGACAAACATTACACACCTACTAGTCCTGTTCCTTTAGAAGCAACTGACTTATTTTTTTCTTTTCCCCTTCAAAAAAGAACCAAACCATAAAACCAAACAAAAAACCAACCCTTGAATCCATCAAAACAGGCCTTTCACATAGTAGAACCTGAACTTCAGACATGCAATCTTTGATAAAACTCTTGACTTGAATTTAATAGGTATCTCCTCAGGTGCTATTTAATTTGGACAGCCTGTCCTCCTGATTTCCACAAACAACAAAAAACCCTTAAAAATGATAAAGAAGTTCTAGAGACTATGTGGTAGAGAATAATCTACTCCTGTCTTTTTTCCCCTGTGGAGTTTCATATGATATTTATCTAGGTTGAATTTCCCTGATCTCAAGTAGATTCCTAATGACTCGTTTTGAACATCACAAAGCCTCTTTTGTTTGGAAGAAAAGCTGTTACTAAAAAGGTACCAGCATACAGCAGTCTTAAAAATACCAGATCCCTTACATGTGCTATGCTTGGCTCTGGCCGGTGCTTGAATGTCAACTGTCAAGAGCAAGAGTATTACAGAACCCCTCATTCATTTGAACCTGAAAATTCTGCTACCCAGAGCCAAACAAGAGAGCAGGAAAATGTAGTAAGAAAGCTTAAGACTCTTCCTGGCTCTATTCCACCCATACCTTATAGTCTTGTCCAGATTTGCTCTGCAGCACTGAAGAGACATTTAGACAGACAGACTGGATTTTACGGAAAAGGCCTGGTTTAGATCCATGCTGAACCACTCCTTCCACCTTTAGGGCCAATTGCTGGTTGTTCTGTACTGCAATAGGTTCTGCTGGGTTCCTTGGAGATGGGGATAGAGCAAGCTGGAACACAAGAAAACAGTTCAAGATGTAATTTGATGCCTCCAGTAAACCAAACAAGGATGAAACAGAACACCTTCTTACAGAAAAACAAAAACACAAGTGAAAACACGGGACTTATAACTGAGACTCATTACTATAATAATTAGTAAGCATCATCAGCAATACCAGATGTGGTCTTTATATCAGTTTCATTAATTGCACTTCAAAAGAAGTGGAAAAATCTTCTACAAAATAGCCACAAGTAAGTATATTAAGCCAAACAAAGTAGTAAAATGCAGTAAGAGTCAATATTAAAAATCTTAAGGCTTTCACATTTCCCAGAAAAAGGAGCTTGATAAAAAAACAACCACTAAAGGTCACATATGGCCACTCTTACTCAGTCAGCTGATAAATACTACAATTTTCTTCCAAGATAGTAAACATTGCTTTTTAAAGGAAAAGGAAAAACAATACAAATTTATAAAAGTTGCCTTTCCAGGACTAGAACATTATTTAGCTTTAGCAGACTCAGAATCAACAAAAATTCCAGTTACATTTTATCTTTAAAGCTTTGCAATCAAAGAACTGAATCTTACTTGCCTAAGTCACAGCCTAGTGGTTCTTAATAATCATGTGTACATATTATACACATTATTCCTAACAAACCCAGACCCAATTTGCAGTTAAGTATCTCCACTAAGAGTGCTGAAGTGCGCCTTCAGTAAGGCTTTTCTCATGAAGTAAAGACTATAAAGAGAAATTTTAGGCCACATTTGAGCAGTACTTACCTTAATACTTGTAGACTGCAGCTTTTGAAAAAAGTACCTTTGAAATGAAAGGGGTACCTTCAGCAATGCAATGACAGCATTGCACAGACAAGCTGTATGCTGTAAGAAACAGAGCCAAAACAATTGAGAAAGAAAATAAAATATTCATAGCACAGGAAAAGAGACATGAACTTGAGGTACTGAAACGGCAATAATTTCTACCAGAAGCCCAGAAACATATTGATACAGTCACAGGATAACAGCCACTATGACGACAGTGACTACGTTCAGCCTCTCTGTTTATGTTCTGCCCTTTATGAAGAAGGTATTCTGTCTGCAAACAACAAGAAGGCTAAGAAAAACCCAAATCATTTCAGTCCTAGGGTTAGAGCCAGCAGAGCAGGATCTGCCTGAAACGCTCGCACACAAAACTCTCACACACAAACTCTCAAATAAACAGCGATTCCCCTCCAAGCAAACAAGACTGGCATCTACCCCGACTTAATGCAGTGCAATAATTTTTAATTCTTGTCTACTCTTCCTTTCCCCACCGCACTATACAGTCCTTGTGGCTCAGAGGAGCAAAGGCAGTGCTACTGAAGTCGCTGAGCTGCACTGGTAGGGAGCCAGCGACAACTAAGCTTACAGGGTTTACCTTTGCTAAGGCTGACACAACTCATTCTTCTATTCTATTTGGAATTGGTAAGGACTGACGAATGTAGAAACAAGGCAAACAGACGCCAGCCATGACAAATGAACTACCTTGTTCCCATCAACATACACTTCAGCTTTATGATGTTCACTAACAGTAAAAGACTAAACCATACTAGCCCTGTAAAGGACTAACGTTATCAGCTCACTGTTTGCGTTCGGCACACTTTACATTGTGTTCCCTGATGACCTGCATTGATAAGAGAAACGCTACACTCACAAAACACAGCATTAACTGCCAACCGCTCCGCGACAGAAGCTAGGCTAGGCTAGTGCTGGACCCTCCAGCACTGTGCGTGGTAGGGGAGGAATTCCTTCCTGACAGCAGCATGAACAAAGAGAATGAGCTTCAGTATTTGAATGCCAGTGTGGCAAGAGATCTGACAGACCTGACTCCGCTTCTAAGTAGGTTATCAGCATCCGCTATATTCTTAGTACCGGAAGTTTTATAACATTATTTTTAATGAGATCAGTAAGGTTACAGATGTCTTAGCAAAACCTTCTGTGAAGTATTTTTGAAGTAGTGAGTCTCCGTAGAGACCATCTGTGCCACTAAGAGGTTACATTAGTTAACCGAATCTGCTCTTCAGTCTCTTGACCCCCATCGATACATGGAGCTGCTGTGTTTTTGGGAGCCTTTGTCTACAGAATATACATTTAAAATTGTTACTTGCCAAGTAAGACACAGGAGCATACTTCCTGTTGAGGGATTCCACTTCTTCCAGTACATGATTAAATACAGACATCATTCTTCTTTCATATTCACTCTCAACATGGGCTGTTCCATTTGAGCTGTATTCCTGGAAACTAAGAAACAAAACTTTTTATCATGTCCAACATACTTTCCTCATCATAATCTGGAAGGCTCACTCCCAAACAGGTCCAACAAGACCATCCTCCACTACAAGTTGAAATCCATTACGAAATAACTACGTCCTTCAAATTGTTTATTCTGTTTATTTATTATTTTTCCACTGTAAGACTTGCCCTTTACAGTTAAACCGTTTCTTCACTACAGCTTATCCTCAATTTTCTGTCCCCACCCTCTCACTCGAAGTAGTTACAGGTCTAACAGACTCAGCATGCTTGATTCCCCTAGCTTTTATTTAAGCCTGCAGTGTTCATAATGTTTTCAAAACATTATAACAACTCAAGGAATAGCAAGAATGCTAGTCAGAGTTACAACTAAATCTGTAAGTTTATGTCATGAGTAAAACTGAACACAACTGAATCTCCTAGACACCTAACGTTTTGAAGTCCACAGCTTCATGCTTTTTACAAGTATGATTAATACACGAATTAAGCATTGCTTAGAAGATAATGAGTAGGACAGTCACTTAGGATGTTCACTTTTATTTCCAGTTATAAAATCACATATTTAAGAAGATGTTTATCCACATTATCTTCCCCTTAATCTCAGCCTGGGAGTTTTAAAGAGTGATTCAATTCACAGGTACTTCAATGTGATTTTCTAGAGGGTATAAGTTCACTGTTAAAAGAGAGCCAGAGGTGATGGATTTGTATTAGAAGTTTAAACTAATTTAACGCATACATTTTCAGGACTCTGAAGGAAACTAATACGCACTTACAAGTGTAAACTAGGTATGGGAGCTAACACGGAATGACAGAAATCAAAATAGCCGGCTAAAGAGATTAAAAGTTGTTTTTTTATTTTAGCACAGGTCTATATCTAAGACAAGTCCAGTATAGAGCTCTCAAAACCAAAGTCAGTATAAAATGCTGTCCCTAGCCTGCCAGGTACAGGTCCTCAGGCCTGCCCAGAGTAGAATCAGAAGGGTCTACTTGAGAAACTTTCTGAACATTCTTTGAATTCCTAGGCTTCAAGCCCCAAGGATTTAGAAATAAACAGCAAAGGAGTAGCAAGTTCACTATCGAACCTACCTTGCAGATTCTGGATCCAAAATCAGAGCTTCTATTGCATGTGAAATCAACAGGCAGCTCTGCTGTTGTCTGATATTAACACTAAGAAGTTAAAAGACTTGGAAAGTTTGCACCTAAACCAAGAAATGCAGTACATTTACTGGCATTTTTTCTTATTTCTCTAGCTTTTATGAAGTAATCCTACAGTCATTACTCCTTTAGTAGACCTAGAGCAAGAACTATGAAAATCCCAAGCTTTATGCTGTTGCAATTTTTGTGTCATAACTCATTCATAAAGTAATTCCAAACAATAGGATGGCAATGTTTATTTCCAAATAGGTTTTAAGCAATTGGTACCTAATTTTTATGTTACAAACTCCTTCAAAACGACTTTGTGCCAGTCTTCATAGAAGAGAGCATTGTTAAGCTTCATGCTGTCCACATGACAAGGAAAGTGGACAAATTCTAAGATTTTAAAAGGATACAGTTCTACATTCCTTAGAGTTGCTGAGTCTGCGTCAAAAGATGACTGATACAGATCTCCATATCGTGTAGCCAGGTTTCGGAATTCTTCCATTGAGTGTTTCATCTACAGGGACAATATTACTAGTCAAAAAAAAAAAAATTGAAGCAAAACCAAAGAAACAAAACCCCAGAAAACCACTACTCTAATGTACAACACCAAAGGAATAAGACAACATACTCTGGCAAAATATACAAAGTTCTTGCTTCTTCACACATATAAAAATCACCAAAGTGACAGACTATGGTCATCCACGCATTAAACAGATATTTTTCTTGTAACATAACACCAAAATACCCTCCTTGGGTTAAAAATAAAACAAAACAACAAAAAAAACCCCACCCAACAACAACCTCCCCCATCCCCTATGGGTAAATCAAACCGCTTTGTTTTTCAAAGAATACCCACAGATTCCTTCTTGCAGGCTATATGGATTTTCGAAGCAGCCTGTTGTGGGCTTCTCTACAGTATCAAGTCACTTGCCAACACTCACCAAAAGGAGCTGCAGTACGATCCTAAGCTACACATTCTTTCTTAGCATAACCACAGTATCTGAGGTGTTTCAAAACAAGGTGTGAAAGGTCTTGCTGTAAGTTTGAGCATACTGAGTGGCTTACTACATGCATATCCTTGGAACCTGTGCACATGAATGTATGAAAAAACACACATACATGCTTGACTTCAAAATATGGCCTGCTTTTTTTATAGCTACAGGCAGACATTTTTATAGCTACAGGTGAAAGCCAAGGCCCATTATTTAGCAAATCTCTTCGCTACCACCATTCATTTCTTTCATCAGATATGTTCGCTGAAAAGCAAAACTCATACCAGAGTCATAAATGTAACTGCACAAGCGTGGAACAAGAACACATGCCTGGTTAGAGATGCGTCCACACCTTTGGAGATCATTTCCTGACGTCATAGCAATCGTTGTGGCAATAGCTGGTGGTGGACTTGTTTTTAGGCTGTTGCAAGTACAAATAAGTTGAGAAAAAGCTTGCAGAAGGTCAATCCTGAGTTTCACAAATCCACACTGAAAGCTCAGAGGATTAAGTGGCGTACTAGCAGCCTGAAACACAGTAACAGGAATGTTGGCAAAGTAGGTCAAAAGCAAACATGATAAAATAACTTTGCAATGTCACTGAACTGTCTCATCGGACAACCGAACCCTTCAGTTGAATTCTGAAAACCGCTTTTTTAAAACTACATTTAACAAATTTGCACAATTTAAATCACGCTGAATATAAACAACACAAAGTTAGATAATTACTAAGCTGTATTTCAAGCATATCACCCTTGTAACAAGTGTGACTTAAGCTGTTACAACACTATTAGGGCATCTATTTCCTCTTTTTCCAAGGCCAAGCCATTAAGCTTCAAATTACCTTAGTCTAGACAGTCCTTACCATAAGGGAGAGCACACTGAACTGGAAGGCAAACAGAAACACAAAGGACAGGAAAAGTGATTCTCTGCATCAGCCAAAAGAGAAAGAATTGGCTAAAGTTACCTGCAGCAAGAGGAAGGGGTGATAACCTTTTATTTTCTTGGAACTGTGACATGGACAGCAACATTACAAAGGCACTGAACCCTGCACTTGATGAAGGCAGAGCCACAGTTCAGCGACACCAAAGAACAGTAAATAACAGAACTCCAGGAGAGTAGACATGCTGCTATTATTTAGAAAACATGGTCCTGTGAAACTTTGCTCCCTAAGAGTTTTTATCTGAGCTGTAGAAGCATCTGTGACAGCTTAGGTCACTGAGGAGGGAGTAAGTTGCAGCACGCAACAGTTGATACTAGTTAAGCCAAAAATCCACTACTTATTTTTCTTATGCTGTTGCATTTTGAGAAGAGTACATTTTTTTCTTTAAGGGGGGCCATCTGCAAAACAAAGCACTGAGACCTTCTCTTACTCTGAGAATGGAAGTACATTAAACTTGTGCATGTCCTTGCCAGCGCTTCTTATTCCTCAACAGAAAACATCACTTCTGGAACCATGAAGTTACAACCCATCCCAAAACCTAAGACCTATTTCTTTGCCAGCAGGAAAGCAGCAAACTAGTTTCTCACAAAACATCACATCATCTGAGAACTGGCACACTATTGACTAAAGTGAGGAAACATCAGCCAATTGCAACCACTTGAAACTACCGAGCTAGATTTCAACCAAAGAAATAAGACTATTTCACCACTTGAGCCCCTCTTATCTACCACTTTGATTTTCTTTCTCCAAGGGTATTAAAAGAAGTCCCTTTTGAATGGAAATTGTTCAGTTTATTCTGCAAGGGTGGTTTCAGAAAAATCTCTGTGGAAGAGATCTCGCTGCACTAATTCCTCTACAGAGACTACATATTTTTATAGAGAGTGAAGTACCATATATTTATATCAGAAAATCCAGACATTTTTAGTAGCACAAATTAGACTCTGTTCTTGTAAATGGAAATACAAGCCTGTCTCATTAATACTGCAATTTACCTTATCTGCTGCCCATATAGCCATGGGCAATAAATGAGTTACAATTCTTTCTTGAAAATGTGGGTTTTTTTTTTTTTAGAAAGCGTTCTGTGTCTCAGACAAGTTCTTCAAACACCACCACTTGTTATCAACATATTTGGAGTTAGTGGTACTTAACCAATGGTTATATTAGTGCTTTGTTCAAGTTCTGTAGATTACCAACAGTGAAAAATAAGCACAATGCTTCCAACAAGATGTATGTTCTGTGCCAGAAAGAGCAGGTCCTATTCAAAACCTTTGCTAACTACACAAGCAAGTACAGAGCAGGACCGATGAGGACTATAGCCGATAAGCTGTAAGTCCCTGCCTTCCCCCACCCCCCCATCCGTGAAGTAATGGATAGGACTAACTCACATGAAAGAGCATTTTGCATACAGCAATGCAAGACAGACAGTTGTATGTATATCAAGAAGGAATTGAGAAATTTTCTGACAAAATCAGATGCTGTCTGAATATTTCAGCATTGCTAAACTGGGCCGACTGAACATCTGCAACGTATTTACTGTAGTCTTCCAGCTACAAAGTGGACAGCTACACAGGGTTAATCATACGCACTAATGGTCTGTGGTACCAACAGCGCTGAGTCATGTTCTACACTGAAACAGCAGCAACAGTTAAGCTGAAATCAGAGGGAAGAGTGCAATAGTCTTAAGCAGTAAGACTATCACATGCCCTTTATGGCACTTTGCTCCCTTTTGAGAGGCTGAGTTCTGCAGGTGCAAGCAGTGAGTGGCTCCTGTTACAGCCGATACACTCAAGCACAGTTAGGAATTTGTCCAAAGCCATGTAACAAGTCAGCATCAGCCAGCAGTAAGACCGCTTCCTCTTCTCTAGCCCTCTGAAAACTGTATTTACTCCTCTGGACCACAGCAACCCTCAAGGAAGGTATTGCACCCAGAAAAGCACTATGGGCAACATGCAGGCAGTGAAGTCAGCAAAGGAGATGAGGACAGGAATCCTTCAACAGAAAAAAAAAAACAACCTAAACTCTAGGGAAAGGCTAATCAAATTACTGAATCACAGAATGACCTATTTAAGCAAGTTATTTTCCTGCCTGTATTAAATATTAACATCTAATTAGATGAGGTCCCCCCTCAATGCCTTCTAGATGTTACGAGAAATCTTGAATTAAAAGCTTTATTCACTCAGGCAATTATGTTAAAGACAAATACTTCAGGAATGACAGAGCTTTCTCTCAGAGGACAAAGGTGTAAACACCTTCATGCTTATTCAGGGACAGTTTATTAATAAACAGTAATACCTGAATTTTATTAAACAATAATATCTGAATTGTCATGACACTGACAGTTCAAGTAACTGGGGAAAAAAAAAAAAAGAAAAAGAAAAGCAGCTTTATTCAAAAGACATACAGAAAATTGTATGCAAAGATTTATTCACAGAAACTAAAAAAATTAAAGTATTGTATGAAGCTGGATTGTCTTTTGTTAAGAAGCAACTTCACAGTAAGAACTGAAGGTCCATATTCATTAATGCTTTTTTTGTTTACATTCACAGATATCACACACACAGAGCTTCCTGCTAATTTCATCACTTCAGAGAAGCAGAAAGCATGTTCATAAAAGCAGGTACCATCTGAATTCTGCTGATTTGATGAGACTGAATTGTCCTCCTTCCTCCTACTAAAATGGTGTTGTCTTGCTGTTAGGGTTCCATAGGATCGCATTGTCAAATACAAGGCAATATGAACTCAGCAGGAGGGAGGAAGACAATTAAATCCTTCTCCATATCCCGAGAAGATGGCAGCCCATTTAGACAAATTTTCAGGCTTGATTATTACAATAGTGTTTATTCAGCCAAGGCAAGGAGTGGAAAATTTTAGTTACTGTAACTTTAAAAAAGGTCTGTCACATATCATACAATTTAATCAAGGCAAGAAGTGAGGGGGAGGGAAGAAGAAAAGAAGAAAAAAAGAGAAATCTAGCTAATCATACTTAGCTGAGCTACATGATCTTCTCTCTGAAGATGCACTGTGTTACAACTGGCTCTTCCCTGCAGTCCTCTCAAAGAGAGAGTCTGGCAGATGTCAGATATCTTTAAACTTTTCAGAGGCTTAAGAACAGAAACCAGACAGACCTGCAGCAGTATACAGGAACATCATCACTGAAGTAGAAGATCTGTGCTCACCGTCAGTGACGCTATTCCTTTGTGATAGGATTTTAAAGCTTCAGCAATGCAAGAAAGCGCTGAGCTGTAGTTGTCCTCCTGCAAACCTGTCAGACACTGCTCTGCATGGGAAAACTCCTTCAAGCTGTTCAGCCAGAAGTAGAAGTGTTCTGAAGCCACTTGAGTCAGCAGGCTTTGATACAGTTCTCTGGCCATGTCATGGTTGCCCTGTAATGACACGAATGTTTATAAGAAGGGACATTAAAGGAGGCTGTGGGTTTCTAGGAAAAAAATACAAATAACAGAACAGTAGCATCTCCAGAACTACATTTACTTTAACAATACAGTGAAATGTCTTCCAATCATTTGATCATGAGGATCCTAACAATAAATAAAAGAACAAATGTTTATTTTATGGAAATATCAGCCTGTATAAAGCATAGTACTTATTTACACAAGATAATTCGACAAGATGAGAAACAAATACTGAAATTTACTTTTACCCCAGCATCTCATATAAGGCTTTCTATGCAATTCTAGCCCCAGCTGTGACTTTACTGAAGGTAAAAGGGAAATAGTATCATCTTCTTCCTCCTTTCTTCACATTGAAGAAAGAGGAACACATCAGGAGGGCTTATATCACCTTCTAAAGAACAGCTAGACAATGCAGATTAGGCACACGCACAAGGAAGTATCAGGTCATTACTTTTTTTCTCAAACACTTCAAAAAGACAAGTGAAAAACCATCCTGATGGGATGACTGCCCTAAATGGCATATATCTGAATCAGCATTCCAGGGAATTAAGAGGAGAAAGAAAAAAAATTTTTTGCCCCCACCCCCCCATTCATTTCCTCCTCCCAAGTCCTACCATTTTCCTTACTTTCTTTTTCCAGTTCGAAGACATCACTAACATCCTTCCAACCACACCAAACTATTTTCCTCCAGGTATCTTCACTTACCATCCTGGAAGCCTGCCTGGCTATCCTGTAGGCTGTCCATCCATTGGAAGCATTCTCGAGCTGCTGTTTGATAACAGTTTTGATTTCTGAAGATAAAGCTTTCTGACTGGAAACAAATATCACTGTGGCAAGAGAAACCTAATGAAGAGTGAAGGGGTGAGGAAGAAGGTTGTATTTCAGGAACTAAACAATACAAGAGGAAAAAACCAACCAAACCCAACACAATTCTGTTTCCTAAACTACCAGAAATCATGTACTTGTTTTTGGACTCAAAACTACACAGAAGATTACACATACATTTTCACTGAGGAACATTTCTCAGTATACATCTTTTAAGTAGTTATGGCAATCCAAGTATTTCTTGCAGATGAAAGTCACTTTCATTTAAAGAATCTTTACTGTGGCTTTTAACTGATATTTTGAATGTTCCAAGTGAACTAACTGCCATTTTGCTTTTCTATAACCACTTTTTTTACAGATACCTCAATAATTTCAACAGCTTCAATTTGTCTAAGCAGCGCCATCTGCTGGAAAATCTAATGGAATACACTGTGTAGTTCAGCTCCATCTATGAGATATTTCGACATTGAACACTGACATATAGTCAAAGCAAAACTGAAAATAGTGGCTAGACTGGCACATCAACTTGGACGTAACGAATGGCTTAGCTGCCTTTTTAAATAAAATCCATCCACAGTAGTTTATACAGACTTTACCCACCAAGAGCTAGTCACCAGAATGTGGTCTTACCAAGAGTTCTTGTTTTTTATCTGTGGCAGATTGTCCAATTAGTTTATACAGATCCATTAGGTCTCCTAGCATCCCATCTGCTAAGACAGGCAGCTGCATGGCAATCGCTGCTAAACAGTGGCACATCAGAATCCTGGCAGCGTCCTGGGCGCTGTGCAGCTGCGTCAGCAGGGATTCAACTACTGACTGGCTCAGGTGAGGACGGCACTTGACCAGCTTCACCATACAAGTTAACGTGATCTGCAATTCACACAACCAACATGTACAATAAACACAATGTCTACTTAAAAATAAAAAAGCCAGCCACACTTATCTGCAAGTATGATTGCGGAAATACAGAAGATCTGGTATTTTCAGAACCATGTACTCTACAAAAGATGAGACTTTTCTAAGAGCCCAAGCCTTTGTCCCTGAGTTCACAGCACAAAAACATCTCACAAATTCAAGAAATTATAATCTTCTTTCTCATACCACCAGCCTTTACAGGTAAATAATTAGATAAAGTTACTGGTAGCAGCTTTTGAATTGGGAAAATAAAAATAATAGTTTATAAAAGTGTTGTAATCATGTACATTGCACCCCATCTCCAAAATGCAGGCTCTCTCCAAGATTCAATTTGTCCTCCACAGACATCTCCATCCCATGTTCAAGTTCATGTTTTATTACAGTTGTTCTAAGAGGAATGCATTTTTTTTCCCCTACAATCAACTTACTCTAAAGGTGAGAGGAGTTGCATTATAGTTGTGCTGAGCTCCTCTACCACTCTGAACTCTGATTACGGGCAAAACATAGGGGGAAAAAAAAAAAAAAAAAATCTTAATTTCCTTCCAGTATGTTATGCCTCCACCAGAAAGGATCTGGTGCACACTAGCCTTTTTGTTATACAAGCTATTACTGTAACTTACAGCTGTGCTAGGGGAAGACAATAATAATGTCACCTTTAAGGTTGCCTGAGCTCCTGGACTATCATCTTGACTACAAAGAACAAGAAGAGCTTCTAAGCCAAAAACTGCATCTTGCTCCAAAGGCAGAAGATCTAAGAAAAGAAAAACAAACAGAGTTAGTTCCCTGTTACATTTTCTGACCATAACTGGTGTAATGCTTGCGCTGGTGTTGCAGTCATGATGGATAAGTATCTGCCTAACACGTCTGCCTTACCTTATTTTGATTAGAAACAATTCTGCCATTCTAGGTCTCAGGTAACTTTTCAGCAGTCACACCAACCGTGACATCTGTAGAGCATGCATAAATCCATGGACTAAGACTTCTAAATGCCCTGTTATTCTTTTGCAACAGACTTTGTGCAAAGAGTTTTCAAAGGCTGACAATTCACTAGTCTTACAGCAAAGGTAAAAAAAGCATTTATTTAGCACAAGTTCTGCTGCGCCCAGTAATTTTCTCTAACTTAGACAAAGATGGAATCTTCCCAATCATTCATAAAATCATACAGAATATTTTCTACTAGATTATAGTCCCTGTTCTCCCTAGCAAGCATGAAGGATCAGAGAGGTTTACAGACAAGACCAGTTAATACATGTTAAGTGCATAAGCCTGACTAAACAGACACATTTCATTGCCCTTGCTTTCATTTACCTTTTTCCTGACAAGAGGCCGATATATTAGTCAGAATTCTCACACCATGAGCTGCAATGCCACGGTTATTATGGTAACAGCATTCCTGGGCGAGTTTTACTAAATCAAATGATCTCGCAGTTGCAGCTGCTGTTCCTAAAAAAAAAAAAACAAAAACCAAAACAAGACAAACAGGACATAAACCAGCACAGTCCATAATTACACTAACAGGTCTTTTCAAGTACATTTCTAGAAATAAAAAAAAACAAAACCAACTAAATTGACTTAGGATTAATTTTTTTTTTCACATGTTTAAAGGACAGGATGTGTCCTAGTTTCAGCTGGAATAGAGCTCATTTTCTTCCTTAGTAGCTAGAATAGCACCGTGTTTTGGATTCAGTATGAGAAGAATGTTGATAATATGCTGATGTTTTTAGTTGCTGCTAGGAAATCAAGGACTTTTCAACTTCCATGTTTTGCTAGTGTGCAGGAGCACAAGAAGCTGGGAGGGAGGATAGCAGAGACAGCTGACCTGAACTAGCCAAAGGGTTATTCCATATGCTGGGACGTCATGCTCAGTATACAAACTGGAGAGAGTTGGCCATGGGGGTAGACTGCTGCTCAGGCATCGGTCAGTGGGTGGTAAGCAACTGCATTGTGCATCACTTGTCCTTTTCTTGGGTTTTACTTCTCCCTCTCTTTTTATTATATTCCTTTTCATTACAATTATTATTATACTTATTATATTTTATTTTAGTTATTAAACTGTTCTTATCTCAACCCACGAGTTTTACTTTTTTTTTTCCCAATTCTCCTCCCCATCCCACTGTGAGTGAGAAGGAGCAAGTGAGCTGCTGTGTGGTGTTTAGTTGCTGGCTGAGGTTAAACCATGACAGGATGAAAACTTATCTTTCTCTCTCTCCACACACAGAGGGTCTCCCTCCATTCCTGAACACTATGCAAGTTAGACGTACATGAGAAAGAAATTTGGGTCTAGAGGGTGATGTTTCAAGGACTCTGAGAAATAATGCCTGAAGAAGTATTATGTCTGATTAAAAAAAGCTGGTGAGCATATTCAGTCCATGCTGGCATGTCTTAAGAGAACGTACTATTTTTCTCCATTTCTACAGCCCATGTAGCTGGGCTCGTAACACTCATTAGGGCAGTCTGGCTTTCAAGAAGCAGAAAGAAAATAGCATGATCACCATTTTAAGAACAAGATACTTTGGATCACTAAAATGTCTGCTCTGTTTCTCCAGAATATAGTCACAAGGCAAAAAGGTTCACCTGCTACTGAAGCAGGTCATTCCCACATGGCAGCCCACTCTTGCACCAGCAAGTCTCCATGCTACTCAAAAACTATGCCAATCCATGGTTTCAAACCACCTTAAGTAGAATGCAGGTCAGCCACTTGAGAGGCATTACATTTCTTCATTTTATGAAGAAAAGTTGAAGACCCAAAGGGAAAAAAAACCCTTTCATATAGTGTATTACCCATGAAATCCAGACACAATACTCCATTTTAAGTTTATATATCATGAACACAGTCTGATTCCCAGCTAGTGCTCTGAAGTCCAAAAATAGTTTAAGAACATGCTACAAAGTGTTTAGATGAAACTGCTTATCAGTAGACAGCCAACCCACTGGAAATGCCAAAGATAATAATCTAATCTAGTTTTCTTACCTGGAACACTGCTGAAGTACTGTTTAATGGCAATGGTCCCCGATAATGTGGAAAGAACAGATAGCATGCCCAGTTTCAAGCTGTCATAAGGAGTGTGAAGAGCAGATTCACAGAGTGCCTAAAGATCAGCAGGAGAAAAGATACAGAGGGAAGGAAGTCCCATGAGCTATCTCTATCAAACGTTTAGTAGCACTGGCCTGTGAAGAGTTCTGAGAGTTAAGATTTTTCCACATAAAATACTACACTGAAATCAAAAGTTAGAAGTTGTGTCGTGAAGCATCTGTTTTAGCACACTGAGGACCTGGTTTGCAGAAGCGTGACAGTGGGTCTCATATGCTAGGAAACAC